GCTTGGCTTAGCAAGTAGAAGTCCATGACATCGGCGGCTATTTTCCCTGATGCCGGATTACTGGCATGACCAGCACTTGCAAGTCTTACATTCACCAGGGCGTGTTTATATATATATATATGTGTGTGTGTGTGTATGGGTAGTTGTCTAAATTAGGGTCCCGTTTAGGCTCATTTTTATCAGGGTGCCATATTATATTGGGGACCTAAGAAGGGACCCTGATTATACCCTTATACCCTTATAGGTTTAGCTTAGGGTTCAGGATTCAGGGTAAGGGTTGAAATGGCGAGGGCTTGGGTTTCAGTGGTGTTGAAGGCGTGGTTCCGCACATGCTCACTATGGTCTCCACCGGCGCAGCGCAGCGGATAGGGCATCGGGCTAGGGCTTGGGGTTTAGGGTTTGGGGTTTGGGGTTTGGGGTTTAGGGTAGGGATTCAGCCACCCCGCCGTGCCGGGGGTGCAGAAGAGCTGCCGACAAGGATGAAAAAATCAACCCAGCCTTGAAACCCTAAAACTATAAACCCCAATAAATCAACCCTAAACCCCCAACCCTGAAACCCCAAACCCCGACACGCCGAACCCCCCAAACCCCAACTCACGCCAGAAACCCTAGACCCTAAACCCCTAAACCCAAGCCCACCAGTTGCGTTCCTTCGGTCCGGTGTTTCGCATGTTTTGGGCGGGGCATCCTTGAGACTTAGGGTGTCTATCTTCGGAGGTTAGGGTTCATGGTTCAGGGTGTCAGGGTTTAGGGTTTCGGGGTTTGGGGTTTAAGGGTTGAGGGGGCAGCTGGATACATATTTGTGGACTTGCTTGTTGGTCAAAGTGAGGATACCAAATTCAACCAAGAAGGGGATACCCGCTAGTTCTGTTGCCAAGTAAACCCTAAACCCCACACCGAAAGCCGTAGCCTGGACCCTTAAACCCCTAAATCCTAAAACACCGGCGCCGCGTAAGCCCCCTAAACCCCCAAACTAGACTTTGAAGTAACCAGGGAGACAAAAGTACAAACTTGTATTGCTTAGTGGCTCCTGTAATTAAGGAGCAGTTCCAAAAACAGAATACTAAGTATGGTACTCCAAACCTTCAAACTAAACCCTTCAAGTCCCGAAACACCTTAAGCCCTAAACCATCTCTCAGTCTAAGCCCTAAACCTCGAAACCAAATTGCGCCAACGGCAGTGACTCCTTGAGACGAACTTGAGAGAGCTGTCCCACCTCTCGCACACTTTGGCCATGCGGTGCCAGGTCCTGGCACGTTTGGGGTTTCACGGTTTGTGGTTTAGGGCTTCGGGTGTAGGGTGTAGAGTGTACTTAGAGTTACATGAAGCCCCAAAACCCTTATCCACCGATTATGGAGTTGGGGTTTGAGGGTTTAGGGATTGGGGCTGTGGTCACTGTCTTCGGGAGCTTCCCGTGGCTTTGCTTTTCTACTCTTCTGGGTGTCGGACACCCAGAGACTCGAATATCCCGTGCTAAGACTATACTACGGGTCCTCGACTAAGAGACAATGTCTCGCTTTCAGACCCCATCTGAAGCCATGCCCTTTCGTGCCCCCCCCCAAGGCCCTATTCTGAATGAAAGCCGTCCCAAAAATATTGATCAGGCGCTATTCTTTTTAGGATGGCGGTCCTTCAGGCCCTTTGCAATGCCCTCCTCAAGCTGCGCCCGCAAGGCGTTCTCGAGGGACTCCTCTTGAATCTGCATGTGCAATGGCCCACAGTGAACTCTTGCGCCTCTAGCCCTTGGCATTAAACCCTCTCGAAGCCCTACAGTAACTAAGTGTGAATCCTATAGACCTGCACCATCGGCTCAGCCTATCCGCGGAGGCTAGGGGGATGATGAACTCGACTTCTGGCCTTGGGGCACTCCCAGGGCACGGGCCCCAAACCAAAACCCAGTCCAAAACCCTAAACCTTATAAACCCTAAACCCCAAATCCCGGCAAGCCACAGAAGAACATCAAGGAACCACCAGCGAAACCTCATAGCAGACAACACACATGTTGGAGCTGTAGCTTGCGATGCCCGGGTCGGAGTGACTCAGTGTTTCGGTGCTGAAGGGTTCCTGTGATTAGAATACCCTATTATAAGGGTCCATGTACCCAAATAGTATACACTTTGGTAATCAGGTAATCCCTATATAAGTAGTTTGGGGTCAAAGTATATACTATTTGGGTACATGGACCCTTAGGGATAGGGTCTTGGCCAACCTTGTCGGATATGTTATGCTACACTCAAAGAGTGCTATATAAGGGAAGATTATTGCTACCACCCATAGGCTCCTAAGAAGTTCCTTTTTGTGGTTTATACTTAGAATCCGACAGGGTAATCCCAAAAAGGAACTACTAAGGAGCCGATGGGTAACGGTTCATCTCTACGAAAGAAACGAACCCTAAGACTGGGAGGCAAGGGCCCCATGTTCCCAAAGCAACACAACAGGCTTTCGGCTAAATCTATGCAAACCCTAAACGGTTTAGGGCTTCTAGGGTGTAGGGTTTAGGGGTTTAGGGTAAACCAGTACCCTAAACCCTGAACCCTCATACTTAAGCCTTTTGCGGAGCGCGGTCGCCTGCGCCGTCTGGGAACGAGGAAGCATCTGCATCAAGCTGGAGATACCTCGACCCTGAGCATTAGGGTTTACCTGGACCCTGAAGAACCTACTTTTGTTGGGGTTCCTTATGATGATTTCCTTATATAAGTCCCTAAAGTAGGTAGGTTATTTAGGGTCCAGGCAGGGCCTAGTTTAGGGTGTTGGCTTGATAATAGAGCTTATACAGTGCACCCCAGCTTACTCCTTACAGTAATCCCTACCAGTACTACCTTTCTGGGATCACCCACTTTCTGGTTTAGGAAGTTGGCCATAAACCGAGCCTAGCGCAAACGTCGTGGACCTTGCCCCCTTAAGCTTGAAGACTGGACAAAAACCGATGAAGCCATGAAGCTGTAGGCAATCAGAGTCCCAGCTAGGGGCCTTAACAATTAGAATAGGGCTTTGGGGGCTCCATGTTATGATGATAGTACAATACCCCCAAACCCTGTTCTAATTATTAAGGCAACCCTAAACCCTAAACCGTCCCTTTACTAACCCCTAATCACTCTGCTGCAGCTCTCCGTTCGGGGCCCTTCATCCTCCGTCGGCGCTTTGGCTCGCGATGATCCTCGGCAAGACATCCCTAGACGCGCACACATTACGGGCTTTAGGGCTTTGGGGATTTACGGTTTAAATGGCTTAAGGCTTAGGGTTCGGGGTTTAGGGCTTAACGGTTTGAGGCTGAGGGTTTAAGGGTTTGGAGTAGGGCTTTAGGGTTTAAGGGTTTATGTTTTGGGGGTTTTGGGTTTAGGGAGGTCACCGGGGCATGGCTACTTGAAGGCTTTATGTAGCTTATATAGCGGTGCACTATACCAGGAGCCAAAAAGAAGCACCCTGACATCGACTGTCTAAGGTTATAGTATATCTCTTGCAGAGGGGGGTCGGTTTCGATAGTTTTAGGCCCTTGATGCTTTTTTGAGGCCCCATATGAGGGCAACTGGACCCTGGGAACTGTTGAGACTCGAAGCCTATCGAGTTCAGGGTTCAGGGCTAAGCTTAACCCCAAATGACCTACCTGTTTCAGGACTTGTATGGGTAGTTCTCTAAAGTAGGGTCCCTTTCAGGGTCCTTTATTACAAGGGTGCCGCACTATATTGGGGCCCTAAACAAGGGCCCTAATTTAGAGAACTACCCATACAAGGAAACCATGACAAGAAACCCCAAAAAGGTAGGTACGGTTGATACTATAAATCCTGCATTACCCACAACAAGGAACATACCACAATTCTCATAGTTTAGGGTCCTTAACGAATTCCGGATTTCTATCATCAACAGCAGGATTTGGGGGTTGAAGGTTTCGGCTTCTTGGGATTCAAGTGTATACCGAAGCTTCGGACCCAGGATCTGGCGATGTTTGCAGCTTAGGCTTAGGTATGGAGCTTAGGTTGGGGCTTGGGGCTTGCCCATAGGCTCCATGGTCGTTCCTTTTGGGGATTACCTTAATAGGATCCTACATATAATTCACAAAGAGGAACGATAATGGAGCCTATGAGGTAGGGTTTTTGTAGGGTTCGGGCTTCGTACTGAGGGTTTAGATTCAGGCTTTGGGGCTGCGTGAACAGTAATGCTTAACCAAGGGTCGGTGAGGGCCTCATTCAGCAAAGCCGCGATGTCCTCCAAAAGGGTCTCACAACGACTGATATGGGCTTTATAGGGCTGAGAAGGCGAAGCCAGGGGCCCGATTCTTGGGGCTTCGGGGGTCAGGGTCTGGTCTTTGCGGACGAGAACCGTAATCCTCTCCCAAGAAAAAGCAGAGTCCTGCTTCCCATACGCTTCAGCCAGCTGGATCGGAGTGCTGCCGCTCGCTTTCGTCGTCAAATCTGCGCGACCCTGCACCAACACACGGGCCACTTCCAAGTGTCCTCGGTCACCACGGCAGGTTCCAGGGTTTAGGATTTAGGGGTTCAGGGGTTTACCTACCTCATAAAGCCTAAACCCTAGATTGCTTTGTCTTCCAGGCCTCGGGTTGTTCATGACACAAACAACAAAGCCGAAGCTAGCTCTGCCCTGTGGGAGCTACGGCCAGCTACGGGGCGCTGCAGAAGGTGCAAAACGCCGCATGAGCGCTTGCCATGCGTGCATCAGGATGCTCGTTCCGTGTTACATGGCAGGCATCGTTCTAAGCATGTGAGGATCTTCTGCACAAGGATGGCTCATGGTTGACATTCGGGATAGAAGCACACGATTATTTCACTGCGTGATGCACAAGGCTTCTGACCTACAGGGCTTATCCAGAAGTTGAGAACGACGCGCAGCTTGCCTAGCCTGTGCTCCCGTGCGATCGCATCCCTTGAGTTCGCGTAATACATCTTTATACCATACTCGACATTTCAGCAGTTCGTCTTTGTATGGGTACATCATCACAAGATACCGCCAAGGGACCGCTGGAGCAAGCAACGTGTAAGGGTGACATCCCATCCTGCCCTCGCCAACGACGGGCAATGTCGGCGCCAGCTCGCACAAGGCAGCGCACGACTTCGGTATGGCCCAGGATTGTAGCGACGACCAGCGGGGAGAGGTCAGAGATCGTTGCCTTCTCTTTGTCTGCTCCGGCTTCGACCAAGAGCTCTACCACCGACACCTCGTTCCTCTCGCAAGCGCAAAGCAGCGGCGTGACCCCATCCTGGGATCTTGATACCGGACCCTACGAAGGATATCGCCCTCAAGAATCAGAAGGTATTTGCTGCAACCTAGTCGGAATATCACAACTTAACCCCCCGGAACCCTCCAAACCCTAAACCCCAAAACCCTAAACCTTAAACCCCAAAACCTGAACGTATATGACCCAGCATCCACTGAAGTACAGTCGATGTCAGCCCGATACTTCAGCAGGTAGCGGGCTGCCTCCAGCTGGCCTCCCGCACAGGCGATCATCATGGGCCTCAGACCTTCGTCTAGGGTTTAGGGTTTAGGGTTTATACCGGGTTTAGGGTTTATAAACCCTAAACCCTATAGGGTTTAGGGTTTGGTTTAGGGTATTTTATGCCGGGTTTAGAATATTATAGGGTTGAGGGTTTAGGGTACCCTAAACCAAAAATAACAAATAATAATTAAACCGCCTGGGACATCATGACATGTGCCTCAGCATGTAGAGCGCTCTTTGCTACAGGTTTCGGGTTTAGCGTCTCATTCTGGGCCTCAGACCGTTGTGTAGTGTCTAGCCTAGGAATCAGAATTGAGGGTGTAGGCCATAAGCTACGTGGTCAGGACGTAGGCTTGGGTATCGGGTTCAGGATCACAGAGCTCATGAAGGGAAAACTGAGGTCAGCCATAAACATATAGTTTCAAGTTTGGTGTACCTAATTGAACACTGAGGGTCAGGCTGCCTTGCCCTGGTGGCAACTGGTTGACATCGGCCCCTCCATCCACCAAAACCTCGAGGAGTTCTAGATGGCCACGTGCGCAAGCAAGATGCAAGGCCGTGGTGGTAAGCCTTCCGTCTGAAAACGTGCCGGCTACATCAGCCTTAGATTCAAGCAGCCATCTTGCGAAATCCGAATGGCCACGGTGGCAGGTGGCATGAAGAGGTGAAATTCCCCCATTCTCTCCACCTGCCACATTGGCCCGAGCTTCAACCAGCAGCTTGGCCGACTTCAGACTGCCATGGTAGGCTGCCAGGGACAAACAGGCCACATCCATGACTGCACAGTTTGGATCGCAAGGCTTCTGAAGAAAAGACTCCACACCTTTCTCGTCATCGTTCGAGATTGCTTCCGACAGCTTTCGAAGGCAATCAGCTTCTGGCACTGCGAAGGTCAGAAGCACGAGGCTCAAGTCCGTCGGGAGGCTCAACTGCGCATCCTCCCGCAAGAAGCTTCTGGGCCTGCCTCATAATGCATTGACATGTCTATCTCCATGCATGCATGCACCCGTCCATGCTCACATTTCTGCATAGCACGATGACTCTCCATTTCACAAAGGGTTCCAGGAAGCACATTCCTTGAATCCGCGGTACATGAGCAGCTAGGTTAAACAAAAAACTCGACTTAAGGCATTCGCTTAATCCTGAGTTCAAAATTGTCCTTCGTCTTGGCAACCCTAGAAGCCTTAGCCAATGCGTTTCCTTTCGCCTCTCTTGCCTCGACATCTGCAGCCTGCCTGCACTGTAAGGTACGCACTTTCTAGGTACACCCTAGTCAAAAGCAAGCACTACTGTCTAGTAAACCCTGTAAATCCTCTATAGAGACCTCGAACCCGCACCCTGAACCCTGAACCCCCTAAGTTGGGTCTGAGTCCTCTTGCAGGATGCTCCCTCCTTGCAGAAGCCGCTGTCGAAAGCGTGGCTGACCAGTCAACGAGGACAGGTGTAGCTTCCTGGGGGGGCTTGGCCGGGTTAATTACATAGGGTTGGAGAGGAGATTTTGTTTAGGCTGTATACGGGCTTGAAGAAGGGTAATAGCCCTGTAGTGCAGATGCGTAGGGAGTTCAGAGAGGCAGGGGTAACTGTTTTCGGGATGTTTGCAATCAGGAGGTTACCATTGTGGCTATTGTTTGCAGGTTTAGAGTAGGACCTGCAGCCCCAAACCCTGCAACATCGTAGGTTCTGGCCCCTTACTTTATCAAAGGGTTATAAACCCTAAACCCCGAACCCTAAAGCCTAAACCCCAAACCCTAAACCCAAACCCTAAACCCTGAAAACAACCAGGTTGTTGGATCCCCAGAAACTCGAGATTCCCCAGTAGCCCCTTGATAACAAAGGGTACCCTTTGTCCTACTCTTTGGGTTTTAATAAGGGGAACCCCCAAAAAGAGAAAGGGCAAAAACGGTACTGCTCAGGAACATAGTTTTTATTTCGTGCAACTCCCTAGTTCCCAGAGTCAGGAAGCTCTGACTGATTGGAACTGCATAAAGCGTGGACCCCAATATGGACTTTAAATAAGAAGTATGACACTATACTTACATGATTATGTGTTTATATGCGTTGTATGTATGTATGTATGTATGCGTGCATGTATGTATCTATGTATGTATGTATGTATGTATGCATGCATGCATGCATGCATGCATGCATGTATGTATGTACGCATGTACGGAAGAGTGCATGGATGGATGGATGGATGGATGGATGGATGGATGGATGGATGGATGGTGTTATATATACATATCTATGTAAAAAGCTACCCCTGACTCGGCCAAACTGTCGGAAGCGTGGATGGAAGCTTAGGCACTGGCCAAGGCTACTTCTGAGACATTCCACAGGATCTCTCTTGCACTTTGAACCGACACACCATAGGCTGTGAACCTGTCCTTTAGTCGCACAGCCCGGTTTAAGATCGGAGACTTTGAAGACTCTGCGTTGGTGGAACCCCTGATATTCCTCCACATGAAACAAGACCAACTGACGACATCTCGCAGAATCTGAGCAGAACCCGAAACCCTCAACTTACGCTTCAACTTTACATCAGTACCCATAACAACCCAATCCAAAACTCACACCAACTAACATTAACATCGCTAAACCTAAACCTGCACCCAAAACATCCGAAGCCCTCTATGCAAAGGCCGAGCATCAGAGTCTTTACAGAGCTTCCGTCCTTCTCCGTCAGATCATCAAACTCTTCGGCAGAGAGCGTCAGAACTAAGAGACCAGAGGACATCAGCCGAACGCGCAGCATGTTCTTTGCTGATGACTTCAGAGGCTGGTTTAGGGTTTAGGGCTTTAGGGCTTTAGGGTTTGGGGCCTTAGGGTTTAGGGCTTTAGGG